CCCCAAAACCCCAAAACCCCAAAACCCCAAAACCCCAAAACCCCAAAACCCCAAATAAAAGGAAGGTTGAATCATAAACTATAATAATCAAAATGTCATCAGATTTCAAAATGTTTGCGGTCGAACCAGTCAGGGACTGTCCTCATTGTCAAGAACTTGAAGAGGAGCTCTTCATGGAGAAAAGGTTTGACGAGAAATGAACTGATTGCGATAATGTTGGAGAGAACTGGATCTGCCTGTCCTGCACTCAAATATTTTGCTCCAGATATGTAAAGGAGCATATGGTCAAGCACAACGAAGATACAAAGCATCCTATCGCTTTCAGTTTTGCTGATCTTTCATTCTGGTGCTACGACTGTGACACTTATGTGATCAGCTCTAAGTTCAAGAGGGTTCACGACCACTTCTACGATCAGAAATTTGGGGAAATCGATAAAACAGATACTCAGAAAATCATTGAAAAGATTGCTGAACTTGATATCAACAAGGAAGATGCCAAAGATGGAGAATCATCTACAGATACTGAGTCAAAGCTTGATAAAGAAGAGGAGAAGAAAGAGATACCTGAAGATTCCAAAACTGCGCCTGAGGGAGAAGGAGAGGAAGAAAAACCTAAATTCTCGAGAGAAGAACTCATCGAAAATCTTAAGAGTGGAAAATATAAGAAAGTAACTGTGTTGACTGGAGCTGGAATCAGTGTGAGCGCTGGTATTCCAGACTTTAGATCCCCTAAGATTGGGCTATATGCTACATTAAAAGAGAAGTATGATATGGATGACCCTTCAGAAATATTCAGTATTGATAAGTTTTATTCAGAGCCTGAGTTATTCTATGATTTCTGCAAAGAACTGAATTGGGACAAATACGACCCAACTCCCACTCATTACTTCATTGGTTTCTTACATCACAAGGGACTGTTGGATATGAATTTCACTCAAAATATTGATGCTTTAGAGTCTAAGGCCGGAATTCCACAGGAAAAGCTAGTCCCTGCGCATGGAAATATGTCAGGAGCTCACTGACCAAAATGCAAGAAGTCTAAATGAATCCAAAAGTTCGGAGAATATGTTAAGAAGGAAGAAATCTGGAAATGAGAGATATGCGAAGTTCCAATTAAGCCAACCATCGTCTTCTTCGGAGAAGGACTTCCAATGAGTTTCTTCAACAACATGGAAAAAATTGCAAAATCTGATTTAGGTATTGTTATAGGATCTTCTATGGTAGTATCTCCATTTAACGGCCTCCCTGAAATGTATTCTAAGGATGCTAATATTGCAACAATAAATATGGAACCAATCAAGCATATCAAAAATTTAAACGGGAATAACTCTGTTTTCCTTGAAGGAAAATGTGATGAGATCATCCTCCAGCTTCTCAAAGACCTTGAGTGGGAAGAAGAGTACAATGAGTTTGTGTCCAAACAAAAAGAGCCGGTCGAATCATCCCAATAAAATTGGAAAGGAGGAGTATTTAGGCTTAATTTTGACCCACTAAGTTTTACTCTCCAACTCTTCATGGGGTTTTGGGGTTTTGGGGTTTTGGGGTTTTGGGG